CCACATCGGGCTCCCTGCTCAGAGGGGAGTCTGCTTCTCCCTCTGCTGCTGCCCCTCCCCATGCTCATGCACTCTCTCTCAAGTAAATAAATAAAAATCTTAAAAATTAAAAAAAATTAAAAGGAAAAAAATGAGGGACGCCTGGGTGGCTCAGTCGGTTGAGCGTCTGCCTTCGGCTCAGGTCATGATCTCAGGGTCCTGGGATCGAGTTCTGCATCAGGTTCCCTGCTCGGCGGGAAGCCTGCTTCTCCCTCTGCCTGTCATTCCCCCTGCTTGTGCTTACTCTCTCTCTCTCTCTGACAAATAAATAAATAAAACCTTTAAAAAAAGAAAGAAAGAAAGAAAGAAAATGGAAATACAGCATCCTAAACCTTAAAAGAGGAGGAGGCGCCTGGGAAAAGGAGGCTGGGGCCTCCAACATCCCTGTGAAGAGTTAAAAGCTGATTGCCCAGGCCCTGTGGAGATTCCCGAGCAGGGGAACCAAACATGCTTTAAGGGACATGGACAGGGCAGTGGTGCATGCATAAATTATAGGGGCAGACTGTGCAGCACGGGAGACTGAGCAGGAGGGGGCGCCCGGGCACGCTTCCTTCCCACAGTCCCCATGGGGCTGCTCGTGCTGCCGGCTGAGCCACAGCCAAGCAAGGAGGCTGACCTGGCGCTGGAGCTGCCGGAGCTGGACATGACATCCTCGAACAAAGCCTGCCAGGTTCAGAAGGTCACAGATCATCTGGCCTTTGATCTGGCCTTTGATGCTGATGTCCAGTGGAGAATGGAATGCAGGCTTCAGGGAAAGGAGCGAAAGAGTGGTGAAAGCCAGAATTTATGGGATACAGCAAAAGCAATTCTAAGAGAGAAGTTCGTGGTGATAGATGCCTACATCAAGAAACAAGAAAGATCTCAAACAAACAACCTAAATTTATACCTCGAGGACCTAGAAAAAGAACAACAAACTAACCCCAAAGTTAGTAGAACGAAGAAAATAACAAAGATCAGGATGGCAATAAATAAAATAGAGACTAAAAAGACAATAGAAAATATCAATGAAAACCATCTGCCTCACAAATGGGCAGAAGATCTGAGTAGACATTTTTCCAAAGAAGACATACAGATGGCCAACCGGTACATGAAAAGACCCTCAACATCACTCATCATCAGGGAAATGCAAATCAAAACCACAATGAGATAGCATCTCACACCTGTTAGAATGAACCTCAAAAGGATGAGAGATGACAAGTGTTGGCAAGGATGTGGAGAAAAGGGAACCCTTGCGCCCCGTTGGTGGGAATGCAAACTGGTACAGCCCTTGTGGAAGAGTATGGAGGTTCCTCAAAAAATCAAAAATAGAACTACCCTGTAATCGAGCAATTTCACGCTGGGTATTTATCTAAAGAAAACAGAAAATACTAACCCAAAAGATCTATGCACCCCATGTTCATGGCAGCATTATTTACAAGAGCCAAGACCCAGAAGTGATCTACGTGTCCGTCGATGGATGAATTGATACAGAAATTGTGGTATATATACAATGGAATATTATTCAGCCACACAAGAGAAGGTCAAATTGACATGTATGACAATCTGGATGGACCTTGAGAGCATTATGCTAAGTGAAATAAGTCAGAGAAAGACAAATACTGACTGATATCTCTTCCATGTGGAATCTAAAAACAAAACAAACAAAACCGAATTCATAGATACACAGAACAGACTGGTGGCTGCCAGCCGTGGCAGGTGGGAGGGGGGTAATATGGATGAAGGGGGTCAAAAGATACAAATTTCCGGATACAAGGTAAATAAATCCGGGGGATGTAATGTTCAGCCTGGTGACTATAATTATTAATACAGTATTGTATATTTGAACGTTTCTAAGAGGGTAGATCTTAGAGTTCTCATCACAGGAAAAAATATGTGTAACTATAAAAAAAAAGAGAGAGAGAGAGAGAACCATGTGTGTGAAATGACACTTACATGCATAGGGCATTGTAGGGCACACGAGGAGTCGCCAACCAAGGCAGTCCACAGTAAGAACTATGGAATATGTAACTGGTCTCATCATTCTCTGGGCCGACCGATTTGATATAAATCTACATATAAAATTAATGTACGTTCACATTTCATTTTTCTAGCACTCTTGGTATTATTTTAGTTAAAGAAAAGGAAACTGCATTTATGGACTAGCACGATTTTCACATGTTCCAATCCCCACTCCACCCCTTAAGTCCTACAATGCTTCCCTGAGCTGATTTTATTATTTTTGTGTGTGATGCACAGTTTTTGACAACTGAGGGTCCAGGGGATATTGTGGTCAGCTGCCCTTCTATCAACTCCAGTCCTCTGCCTTTTGCGCAGTACTCACGTGGTTTAGGTGGAAGGGACCCCAATCCCAGCTTTAGGGCTGAGCCTGCATGTGTCTAAGCTAATTAGAGTATGTCTCTGGCCACTATGATGGGTTCAGAGACAGGCAATTAACCCAGGTCAGTCAACCAACTTCTGCAAGACAGCAGACCCGAGAGAACTGCAGAAAAACAAAACTATAGCTTTGATGATCTCATGAATCTCCAGAGCAAACCATATAGCTGAAGGGCATCCAACTATTACACTTTTTGGTTATGGGAGCCAATAAAGCTACCTGAAGCCAGTGTGAGTGGCAACCAAATAAATTTGAACTGATACAAAGTGGGTCACTGAAATGTATCCTCCTCCTCAATAGGGGTATTAACTGGGTTTTATAGATGTGCAGCCCTCCACTCTTTATTAACTCATACCAGCCACACGTAGTGGGAAGGGCTAATGTATTTTCCATCAATGCCCTGGGAAGATTCATGTGACTCCAGATCTCTGGGAGACGGGCTGGAGCCAGGGGGCTCTCTTAGATCCTAGCCCTGGCTGCTCTAAAAGGCTATACATGCCTGGGGCTCTTGGGCGGCTCAGTCAGTTAGGCAGACGACTCTGGATTTACTTACAGGAATCCATCTCAAAGAAAGAGTAAATGGGGCACCTGGGTGGCTCAGGCGGTTAAGCGTCCGACTGTTGATTGCAGCTCAGGTCATGATCTCAGGGTTGTGAGATCAAGCCCCATGTTGGGCTCCGTGCTCAGCATGGGGAGTCTGCTTGAGATTCTCTCTCTCCCTCTCTCTCAAATAAATAAAATAAAATAACATTAAAATAAAATAAAATATTATACATTCCTGGCTTTCTCCTGCTTCCTCCTCCACCTCCTAGGATGGTCTAGAATTTCTTTGGTAGTTACTGCTACAGAGATAATCCTAAGCAAAACCTTCCAGTAAACTCTCCCTAAGAAGTGATGAGAAATCCTTAGTCGCCACCCTTGGGGCATTCACTGGGCCTCTCATATTTCCAGAGGTTAAATCAAGTAGGAAAAGTTTACAGGATTCTGGTTTCTTGGCTTACTTGGTTTCTTGAAGCTGAGCCTGGAAGGAATGATTTGTTAACCATCTCTGAGTGCCTTGGGGGCTGTCCACCAAGTCTTGGAAACAGGAGCTAACAAAGAAGGCCCCGGGAGACAGCAGGAGCCTGGGTGGGTGCAGAGGATGCACGTGCACAGACACTGGTCAGTTTAGTGCTTCAAAGCCTCAGAGTCATTTTCCCCCCTCATCCTCAACTCCTGGTCCAGCTTTGTCTGGAGGGTGGTTCAGATACACCACGCCTGAGCCTTTGTCCCGAGGCCCTCTCTACCTCTCCTGTCTAGTCCATCCTACTGCACACACCATAACCTGGACAGTGTCCCTTGGAGGCCATCTTGCCCCCAGGCCCTCTCAAGAGCCCATCGAAGCCCCTCAGAGGAACCCGGGCCCTCAGTCTGAACTTCGAGGCCCTCCTCAAAGGCCTGTCGTATCCCCAGTGCCCACAGCTCCTCTGAGTTTTTGACTACTGGCCAGCACACAGCTACATGGTAACCAGCCTGCTCGCCAGCCCAGCAGGTGAGCTTGCCCGTTCCTCTTGCCAATCACTGTGAACCACACATGTGGAGGGCAAATGAATCAAAGGTCCTACTCCACCCCCAACGCTGGACAGGCTTCTCCTCGCAGGGCACTCAAGTTCTCTTTCTGAAATGAGCTGTTTATTGACTTGTTCATACCCTTGTCCTCCTCCTTCCCCCAAAGGAGCATATAAACCCTGGGATGTAAGCTTCCAACTGAGCATATAAACTATGAGGGCATTGGCCACCTCTCAATGAATCCCAGCACTTGGAAAAATGCCTGGGGCAGAGTGGATGGGTTTATACTTTGTAATAGTCATGAGGAAGACAGATCCCAGATGAATCTCTTCAGTTCATTTCCTAAAACCTCTCCACCTTAACCCACGTTGGGTTTTCCAGTTTCCGTCCGTTCACAGTGGGATATCCACCCATCCCTGCCTCAGTGTTCCACTGAATAAACTCTTCTTACTGGACACTGATTCCTTAATAACAACAACAACAAAAATGCACCTTTTCCTGAACGTCTACGATTTTGCTTTCACTCCCTGAGAAGTGACATTTTTCTCCCTATGGAAAAATCTATCGTGCAAATTGCCAGATGTCTGTAATCCTACCCGAAGCCATTTCCTTTGGAAGAAGTCTGTGGTAGCCAACATCATCTCAGAATTAAATAGTGGTTCTACCACATCTGGCAACTTAGACACTTGCATCTGCCATTCTGTTACCAAGACAGTTCCTGCCTCTCTCAGCCTCTGTTCATTTTGGAACCTGGCCTCCCAAGTCACCTCCTCCCTGGTGCCCTACCACTCCTGGACCTATTCATTTCAGTTCAAAGGGTTCTGTCTACCCTTTACACATAATCCCTACAGATGTCCAGTCTAGGACCATAGCTCCCGTCGGTCCTGAGCTAAATTCTCGTGTCCTTCACTTTTTTGTCCAACATCTCTCCATCTCCAGCTTCTCTGTCCCGATGCTCACCCCCGCGCACCCCGGCCGCGAGCTCCGCCCTACCCTCCCCCCCCCCCCCCCCCCCCCCCCCCCGGCCCCGCTCGGTTACCTGGAGCTTGTGTAACTGCAGAACGTAGCCTTGCACTAACAGCTGGAAGAAGAAGCGCAGTTGCCCGGGCCCTGGAAGCTCCTCCAGGGTCCGCAGTCTCCGGTCGCCAGGCCCGTTTCCAGGAGTCTCGGCGGTAACCCGGACGGCGGCGGGGATCGCGGCCTTGGCTCTGGCCCCGTGCGGGCAGAGGCCAGGGAGGGCCACCCGCGTACCCAGCAGCGCCCACCGCAGCCTCGCGCCCCGCAGCGCAGCCAGGCGATCCATGGCCCGCGCCGCCGCGCCTTTGGACCGCGAGTGAAGAGCGCCTGGAACCCGCTCAGAGATCTATCCAGAGGGGCGGGTTCAAGGGCGCCAACGGCCGGGGGTGGGCCGGGCGAAGGCCGGCTAGGCCCCTTACTGCTCACTTTTCCTCGCGGTCCTCGGTCTCTCCCCGACGGGACCTCACGAACACACAGAAGCCACCTCCTCCAGCCGTAAGCCTGCGGTCCGGGGGAGGCGCCGGCCAACACCACTGCAGAGGATGCACCCCAGGATTTACCCAGACCTCCAGAGCGCCGATCGCGGCCCCCTCTTCCGCGACTCCCCACCCTGCACTTCTGCGGACTCTCAAGGAGAACTTGAAGTTCTTTGGTCTGACATTTCATTCGCAGTACATAAAAGTTCTCGGAAGCTCCGGGCACTTCCAAGGCCAGGAAGCCCCAGCCAGCGAGCCGGGCCCTCGCCTGACCTACAGGTTCGCCACGGCAGAGCGCCCTAGCGCCAGTGTTCCTCCCTTCCCCGAGAGCAGGAACCGGCTGCTGAGATTTAACTGGCCGCTGGCTTTTCCTAATGCGCACCACCCCCAAAGCAAAGCAAAAAAAAAAAAGAAAAAAAAGAATAAGCAAACAAAGCAGAGCACAGCAAAGAAAAGAAAACTGGCCCGTGTCCAAGGTCATCTGATTCCTGGAGGGTGAAAGCCAAACAGACAAACAAATTTACATATTAGAGGTTTATTAATGCAATTCTATTCTCTCCACACTCCTTAGGGTTTTCCAAACTGTAGGTTGAGCCCGGATTTAGGGACTGTGACCAGAATTATTTTTTTAATAAGATGGAAAAGAATAAAATAGTACAGAAAATACTGCCAAGAAGAAAGAGTAGTGTTTCATGAATCCTTTGTCTCCTGTATATTCAAAGTACATTGAAAAGTTATTTCTATTTCAAAAAGTTAAAAGCAGGATGGTAAATCTTGTTCTAAGAACATTGGAAGAATTGGTTATTTACAAACAGCCAGAGGGAGAAAGGGCATTTTGGATTCAAAGGGGCAACAATTACAGGGTCAGTTAATGTGGCCTAGGTGTGGACTTATGTTTGGATTTATCCCATTTGGGGCCATAGGGTTTCTTAAATCTGTGACTGAAAATCTTTCATCACTTTGGGAGCTTTTCAGACATGATCTGTTCAAACATTTCTTTAATCCCATTCCTTTGTCTCCACCCGCCCTTCTAAAACTTCAGATTATACCTATGCTAGGCCTTCTGACCCATCCTTCCTGTCTCTTAGCCTCTCTCCTGCATTTTTTTTAACTTTTGTGTTTTTAGGCAGGCCCCACACCCAGGGTGGAGCCCAAGTGGGGCTTGAACTCAGGACCCTGAGATCAAGACCTGAGCTGAGCTCCAGAGTTGGTCGCTTAATCGACTGAGCCATCCAGGTGCCCCTCTTCTGCACTTCTTAAAAATTCTTTTGTCTCTTCTAGCTCCTTAATCCTCAATTCAGCTGTGTCTAACCTGCTGTTAAATCTTAATTTCAGCTATTGTATTTTTCAGTTTTTAATTTTGAATAGTTTTTTTTTAATCTATGTCCTTTTTTATATTTCTAGTTTTATGTCCGAATTCTTAGTTTTATCTTTTATTATTCCCTTATATTTTGTAAAAATAGTTGTTTTAAGAATTATGACTAATAACTCCAATATCTGGGTTCTACATGAAACGGTTTCTAATGTCCATTGTTTCTAGTGGTTTTTGTTCATGTTGCCATATTTCTTCCTGGGCCTGGTTGCTTTTGATTGTGTGCCAAAGAAATGCATTCTTTAAGTTTCTGGTGGAGCTCACTAAGGTTTAGGATGATTTCATTTTCCTCAGGCAAGTTTACTTTTGTTTCTGACGGTTGCCTGAAGGCACAAGCAAACCAGGATCAGCCTAGTTCAGTTTCAGGAGTGAGATTCTTTGAAGCCAAGCTTCAATCCTTTGGAAAGCCAGTCTAGTCCAGTCCTTAACCCTTTGGGATCCCTATCTAAAGTTGGGTATAAGAGATCGTGGATTCCAACATTTCTTCACCCAGCCCTGTGAGGCTAAACCACTCAGCTTCCTCTAATGAAAATGGGGGGGCGCCTGGGTGGCTCAGTCAGTTAAGCATCTGCCTTTGGCTCAGGTTGTGATCCCAGGCTGCTGGGATCGAGTCCCGCATTGGGCTCCCTACTCAGTGGGGAGTCTCCTCTTCCCCCCTGCTCATGATTTCTCTCTCTCTCTCTCTCTCTCTCTCTCTCGGATAAATAAATAAAATATTTAAAAGAAAAAAAAAGTTTAAGAAAAGAAAATGGGAAATACCACTAATAGAAAAGTGGTACCTAATGCCTAACTTACCTCTGGGTTTCCATCTTCTGGTTCTATTGTCTTATTACCTTGCGTGTTCGCTGATGCTGATGCTTCAAGTAAATGCTTGACATATTTGTAGTCATGTAGCTTTTCTAGCTATCCTTAGAAAGAAAGTCCAGTATTAACTGTAGAAATCTGATGTAGGCTTTTATCTTTATTCTCCCCCGCCCCCCGCACACCGGATTCATTTTCTTGCTATTTTCTATTTTTTAACCTTTTTAAAAAACTGCTTAGTAAAATTTTCTGATTTCCCAATAAATGCTTTTAATGCTATACATTTTCACATGTTACTGTGTTGGCCATTCCAACAAGATTCACTAAACATTCTCCCTTATTGTCATTCATGTCCCAATAGTTTGTAATTTCCATTTTGATTTTCTTTTTAATCTAAGAGTCATACAGAAAGGTGATTTTATTTTCTTGCAAATAGTTGCAGTTTTGTTTTTTGTTTTGAAAGGTTCCATTCTTTTGTTATTAAATTATAGTTATTACATTGTGGTCAGATTGTATATGGTCTTTTTAGAATTATCAAAATGTTTTTATAGTCTCATAATTGTTTCTTTTTCTGAACATTCCATGTGTCTTTTTTAAATATGTATTCTCTGTTTATTAACTTAATTTTGTTATTTAGATCCTCTATAAGCTTACTTACTTTTGTCTACTTGATTTGTTAACTTCTGAGAGATACATTTTAGTATCCCCAAAATATTATGTATTTGTGGATTCATCAAATTTTCTTGCATTTCAGGACACCTGGGTGGCTCAGTCAGTTAAGTGTCTGCCTTTGGCTCAGGTCATGATCCCAGGATCCTGAGATCAAGTTCTACATCGGGCTCCTTGTTCAGCGGGAAGCCTGCTTCTCCCTCTGCCTGCCGCTCCCCCTGCTTGTGTTCTCTCTCTCTCTTACAAATAAATAAAATCTTTAAAAAAAAAAAAGCTGTATTAAAAAAAATTTTTTTCTTGTATTTCCAACAGTTTTTGTTTTATATTTTGAAATCTGTTGTTAGATTCATAAAGGTTCATGACTATTATATATTCTTGATGAATAGCACCTCTCATAAATCTAAAATATTAAATTGCTTTGGTTTTAATATTGTTACTCCTACTTTATTTTTTGTTCATGTGTTTGATATATCTTTATTCATCCCTCTATTTCCAGTTATTTTGATTTAGAAGTATCTCTCATAAATACCATGTAGCTGGATTTTTTCTTATCCAGCAAGCGAATCTTTAAATAGCAAAAATTATTTTTGTAATTTGAATGAACGCTTAAAACTAAATACATGAAATTGAATAAAATTAAGACGTAATAAATGGATACCTTAGAGGAAATATAAATGGCCTTAAACATATACAAAAATGTTCAACCTCACTTGCAATGAAAGAAAGAGAAATCAAAACTACATAAGAAACCATTTTTCACCAATGAGGTTGACAAAGATCAAAAGCTTGATATCATTATGTAGTTGAAGGTATAGGGAAACAAACTCTTAATCATGGTTCAAAGGAATACAAATTACTACAGAGCATTCACAATTTAAATTGCACTTACCTCATGAGCCAGTAATCCTACGTGCAGGGATTTGTTCTACAAATTCTTGCACATTTGCAAAATCACAAATATGGAGCGATATATTTTTTTTTAAGATTTTATTTATTTATTTGACAGAGAGACAGCAAGAGAGGGAACAGAAGCAGGGGGAGTGGGAAAGAGAGAAGCAGGCTTCCTGCCCAGCAGGGAGCCCGATACGGGGCTCGATCCCAGGACCCTGAGATCATGACCTGAGCCGAAGGCAGTCGCTTAACCAACTGAGCCACCCAGGCCCCACGGAGGGATATTTATTACAGCATTGTTTGAACAGATAAAATATGAGAAACAACATAAGTGCTCATCAGTAGGGAACTAATGAGGTAAATGATGGTTAACCATCATTCAATGACTGAAATCATTTGCATTTGCATATCATTGAAAACAGTGATACAGCTCTATCGATAATACTGATATACAACAATTTCTAAGATCTGTTTTTTTAAGTAAAAAGAGTAAGACGCAAACCAGTGTTATGGTAGCTACGCTCTAATGAAGCCAACATTTGCACACACATAAACTGTCTCTGGAAGGATATACTAGATATTACGATTTGTAATATTATCTGCCTCAGGAACAAAGGTAGCAGGCACACAACTCCCCGGCACACTCTCTTGGACTCTTTGAGTTATGTAATATGTACATGTAATATCTAGCTTTTTCAAGTGGCTTATTCAAAAGTCACATAGCAAGGATGTTTTCTTTTGACCTTTCTGAAAACTTGTTTCCCAAAGTGATGCCTGGCTATCTATTATCCTGGTCACTTTGGTCCTCACTAGAGTCAAAACTTTAGTGAAAGCAATAATAATGTATTAAAATAATCAAAGCCATATATATATGGCACCTTCTTTTTTCTTTCTTTCCTTCTTCTTTGTTTTCTTTCTTTTCTATTTTCAGTAGGGGGGATATCTAGAAAGATGTATGTTGGGGAAAATGTATAATTGAAGATATCCGTGAATTAAGTACAAGGACAAATAGTGTGAATACAAATTGGCTGTAGGGGCATCTGGATGACTGTCAGTTCCATATCTGACTCCTGATTTCAGCTCAGG